GTGCCTTCTGTAACACCTACGTTAGATTATACCCAAAATCCATTTAGTACACAATAGTTCCGATTTCGAATAATGCTATTTTACAAACAAAAAAAAAACGTTGTAGCTAAAAACGGAAGCAAGCAAATAAAAGCGAAATGGGAAACAAACATCGCGTATCATGGATTTAATCTCTTGTTCTGAATAGAGTAACACGCAATGCTCATCGAAGCTTGAAATACTTCTCTCACGTGTCGGCTAAAACTATTTTATCCGATTCAAAATATATCTTGCAATTAGGTAAGATATTTGTGGAGGAGTTGGCTTTAATTACAATCAAGCGGTATTCTATCAGTATTTACCATAATCGTAAAGTCCAATCTACGTCTGAGAATAAATCCGCTTCTTCTACACATTGTCGTGTAGAAAGCGATGCATCTCCACTTATAAAACACGAATTGTATCTATCCACCACATTTTCGTTTAATTAGAATTCCGGCAATTGTTTTCAAAGATAAAGCGTCATGGCCGCATAATTTTATTGACTTTTAAGTGCGGCTAATTGTGTTCTTCAATTTCGAATGTCAGTAGCGTGAATAATTTTCTTTGATTCTTTATTTCAATACTAAGAGAACGAGTCTTTCTAATACCCGATAGTACCGTGCGGAATTCGAATGCTTTAGTTAATTACAACATTATTATTTACGTTACGTCACGATGTTTTTTTCTTCTTTAAAATATTGATAATTATTTACATAGTTTTATGATTGTCAACAGTTTAAGGGCTACTTTCGCGTTTAATTTTAGGTTAATCTTCTTGATTTGACTGGTCCTGGTAATTGTGGGAACTGGTCTTAGTATTGTTAATAATTTGGAAGTACCAAAAACTAATAAGTAATTTGGTATTAATAAAAAAATATCTTGCGTCTTTTCAAACAGAGCCATGTACAGTATATTGCAGTAGTTTATTTGAGGTAGTTGGGTTTCCTCTTCACTATAGAACAATTGCTCTCTGCCATTAGTCTTACTGAAGATCCATCCTTTTTTCAATCGACTTAGCTGGGCAAACGATCTCACGGCCCACTCGATCTTAAAGTAAGATAGACAAAGTATTCACAGTGACTTAGAAGTGAATACTAACTCATACGTTGAGTAGTAAGTTTAAATCCAAATTGCATTTATTTATAAGCACAACTGTCTTTTCAAACCGAAACTAATTATTACTTCAGACACACACAGCGTAAATGCAGAACAGTTATATCAACCACGTTTCTATGACTAGCCCTACCTTCAGCTTATATTTACCTTTATATTATTACCTTTTGAGTTTTTGTTGCTTTTTAAGGCAGATAAGCATGTAGCTATCACTGTCGTTTGATCCATCGGCAACCTAATTGGTATAGTCAAGTCAGTTGAGGATTAGTTTTAAACCATGTTTGAAGTAGGACATGCCGTAGCGTTTACGTGAAGCGATGCAGAGTTGTTCAAATCGAAGAAAAGTAAGTACCATGCAGATGATCACAGTATTCCAAGTAGTTGAGATCAATTTTAATTCAGTAAGGGGTAGCACGATGTTAAAAAATAGAAAATTTTCATCTATAGCGATTCCTCAGTTAACATTTGCTACGCAACGAATGATACAAACCGCAGATATATTTTTTTATTGCCTTTGTAGGCAGACGGGCTTACGGCCCACCTGATGGTGAGTGGTTACCGTCGCCCATGGACTTCAGCAATGCCAGGGGCAGAGCCAAGCCGCTGCCTAAAAATGCAGATGCAGTCAAAGTCCTACAAGAGATCCATTATTTCATGCTACGTGTTATGTGTTAGATTTTTAAGTTACTAACATAGATTATATGTAATTCTCACTAACAAAATGTTATAGTTTAAAAAAATACTGAAATAAAGTATAATAAATCAAAAAAATAAAAGTAAGATAAATTTTGCAACCGAAACACTCAGTTATCAGTAACAACAGTGACTTTATTTACAAAACAGAGTACGCGAGGCACAAACACGTACAGCTGTACAACTACGTCGATAAATTGTGAGCTAGCGCGCCGTACTCTCGGCCCGTGTGTCCGTAACAAAAGTGAAACAATTTTATTGGATTCAGGCGTCTTTGTCGCTTTATCAGTGTCTTTTTATTCGCACATGTAAATGCATTTAGCTCCCACCTCCTTATCGAGTTGAACACCATTAATCTTGTATAACAATGTACCGGCTCGGTGCCTGCGCATCGATGGCTTAATCAGCGAGATAGTACTTTAGAAACATTTATGTATCTTACTTTTGTATATGTATTTTCGGTCGGGAACTCAGTAAGAATTATCGAGTAACATACTTTTTTAGGTCAAGTAAAATTTACACATCATTAAGAATTGATAAAACCTGTAGCGGTTTCCTATACACATGTGTCTATTGAAATATTATTAATTCAAGAATAATGTAAGTTGAATCTATGACTATATTAACACATTTACTGCCTTACGTAGCGCACTGAAGTAATTTTGTTAATTTCTCTTTTAGATCTTCTTACTAAGGCACCGGAATATTTAGTAGACTGCGAAAGATGAATCCGAAGATACTGAGAATTAATATATTTCTAAGATAACTAAAATATAGACACCAGATAGGAACCAAGTTCCTTATTATAAAAATATTAATCTTAAGTTTTATTCGAGGTATAAAGAAGATAAAACTGGAGGTTTCGCAACAACTCACGGTCATTCGGTAACGTGCGAACATATTGTGGTACAGTTCATTCATAGTGGTCAATGAATAATAAAAAAATATGTTATTTTTTGTACGTTATTACAAAGTTATGTCGTACACTGTATGCATTACTAATAAAAATCTTACGTTACGGCCGTTTTTTCCCAATTAGGGTACTCCTCCGCATAGTCCCATAAGGAACTTCGTTCCAAAAGCAAAAGAAGGCAAAGTTAAGCCATCTAGTAACAAAAATCGATATAATTACTTCAGTGCGTCACGTAGGGCATCGGTGACTTACATGACAGTCGAAGGGTACATAAAGTCGGTAACTTGATGTGGAATTTGTGGAGAAATTGTAAATTAAGTATCATTTTATTAAACTACTTAATCTAAGCTTTTCACATGATCAATTTATTTAAATACCCGTTCGCATTTGGAGGAAACATTACTTCAAAAATCGAAGCCTATCTTATGTAGGCGGTAACATCTACATATTATTTACCTTCGAACTTAATGAGAATGCTTCTGATCCATACGTAATTTCATTTAAATTTTGAATTCAATAAAACTTAACTTAAGGAGCAATGTAAGATTCAAAACGCGTAGGCACACATATTTTTTTCAAATTAACTTATAACCTGAGCTTATACAATTTACGAAACTATTCTTTTTTTTTTATTGCTTAGATAGGCGAACGAGCTCACAGCCCACCTGGTGTTAAGCGGTTACTGGAGCCCATAGACATCTACAACGTAAATGTGTCACCCACCTTGAGATATAAGTTCTAAAATCTCAGTATAGTTACAACAGCTGCCCTACCCTTCAGACCGAAACGCATTACTGCTTCACGGCAGAAATAGGCGGGGCGGTGGTACCTATCCGCGCGGACTCACAAGAGGTCACAAACCAAGGCTGGGACAGTCGATATAGATCACGATTGAAATTCAGACCTCATGTTTCAAGGGGTGACCTAAATGGACCCTAGCAACCGCTTCGTCTGCTTAGTAGGCTAAAAATCCGGCTAAAAATCATGAACGTCTTGCCTAGTCAATTCAGGTTTCCTGGTAGAATGAATGTACGATCATCTCGAATAATTAATTAGGAAAGCCCCTATAGAATATCAGTCGATTTTATTTACTTACCTAAGTCCCAAATGGCCGAGATTGGTTATTCTGACTTCACCGTGACTAATTAGCGAGCTCCCGGGGCCCACGGTTTTTTTTTTTTTTTTATTGCTTAGATGGATAGACGAGCTCACAGCCCACCTGGTGTTAAGTGGTTACTGGAGCCCATAGACATCTACAACGTAAATGCGCCACCCACCTCGAGATATAAGTTCTAAGATCTCAGTATAGTTACAACGGCTACCCCACCCTTCGAACCGAAACGCATTACTGCTTCACGGCGGAAATAGGCGGGGAGGTGGTACCTACCCGTGTGGACTCCCAAGAGGTCCTACCACCAGTGATAGAAATAATATAGTAATAATTGCTAATATATGTCCTAGCAAAAGCGATGCTTCGTTGAATCTATCACAGGATTGGAAGCTAAACAGTGCCGCCGAGAAACTCAATTTAGTCTACAGAAGAAATCGATGTCTCTCTACATTCTAAGTCTGACTGCTTAAGATATGATTCCCATTGGCAAGCAATAGAAACGTTGCGAGAATAATCGAAAACGAGCATCGGACAATGAACAATCAAATCCTTTGCTACCTATCTAATACAAAACCACATTTCGGTCTGTGCTATAAACATTCTCTCCAACAACTCTCATAACATTGATAACTAACACTCTGACTGAATAGTGTTAGTAGCAGTAGTAGTGTAGACATAAGTCTACACGTATGTTATTTTACATAACATGTGCGGTCCTTTATTTAAAAAAAAAAACGATTGGAACACGTTTAAGCTTTAAAGTAATCTATCTAACCAATTTTTTTTAGTTTTTCTCATAAACCTACATCGCAATAAGATCTATTTTTCTAAAATAACACTAAATACGACATTAATGTCGTATACTATTATAATACTATATTTTATTTATGTACGATTTAATGAAAATCAGAAATAATGTATAATAAAGGTTTATTCACAAAAAAACATTTACAAAATGGTCGAATATAATCAGTCTTATATTTAATTTCACAACCTGGAAATGCTACTCACAGCCGCTACTTGTAAACAATATTTTTAATTTATTTATAAATTACTATTTACAGGAATGTACAAAATTTACACAAAGAGACGCTAATTTGTCTAAAAAAATGACTAGATTACATACATCGACATTAATGGATACAATAATCACTTTTCTTGCCACCACGAGATAGTATTAAGTAGGTCGTCATCCATTGGAGTTATTTGTTCTTCGATATGAAAATTTGGAATGTAGCCTTGTGAATAGTTTGATGACACGCCTGAAGAGCTTTCAGAGTCCGCCGGTGAAGGAACGGAGTCCGTATATGGAGAACTCCTTTCGAAGACACCATCATCCGCTTCATAGCTGATCGTCGATAAGTCTATCGAAGGCTGCTTAGGAATGCCAAGCGCTGCATCGCTTTCGTCAATCATATTTTGTAAATACCTTATATATTCGACGACCATTCGTAGTGTGTCTACTTTGCTGAGTTTCTTCCCGGAACCACGTCTCGCGCCTCCGGATAATGCGGCTACGACTGCGGCAGGCAGTCTTTTCCTCAACGCGTTGAATCCATCGTTCACTTGTTTCACACGGTTCCTTTCCCTGGCGTTTCTTCTTGCAATCGAAGCAGCTTGAGTTCCGTTGTGGCTGCAGTTCTTGTAATTATATTTTTTTGGTTCCAACTCTAATGTTAATCGAGTTTCAGGTGCCGGTGCGATTGCCATCATTTTCGGCGAGTCATTTACATATAGAGTGTAGTTAGACTTATGATGAATTCCTTTAATCATTTTACTATTCGAATTCGTCAATAAACAGTGAGATGTGCACTGAATAATGTGTAGACGTCTCGACGCGTAAGACGTGAATGAGGGCTCCGGACGCCCGCGCATTAATTTATGTACTCACATTTACCAAAAAAAGTTGGGATCGGGATCCCTCGCTCTCTTTAGATCTTTTTTTTTCTAACCGATACCTGGAATATTCTTTCGAAGTGGTCGAAAGTAGTGGCCTTTCGTGCGCGTGCCATCATATTTGATTTATACTAGGTACAAGCAAGTTTTCATTGTACCTATAATGATTAAATCTCTACAAAACTACTGAACATAAGATAAGACAAAAAAAAAACACTTCTGCACATATTATTATGAAGGAAACGTTACTGCATTTGCTGCATTTCGGATTTCGTTGTAATTGCTCACCATCTGATTTTTTATACCTGATGTTAATTGGTTACTGAAAAACAAGAGAGATCGCATCGTGGATACCGTAAACCACGTGAAGATATGACATCTAAGTCTCAATTGTATAGTATAACGCCCTTTCCCAACCCTTCTTCCCTTCCCTTCTTCTTCTTCCAAAGCTTATGTGGATAAAATAAAGTTTCATTAAATATCCTTTCTCGCGCACAAAACTTATAGGCAATACTAACTTTTTAACTTGAATATTAAGATAATATTTCATCTATAAGGTAAAATGGGTGGGTATTGGATTAAAAAATTTTAATCAACACATTATACAAAATAACTAATTAATTATACACGACAAAATGAAACAAATGTTCGAAGAAATAAATTTTTGCGTAATCATACAATACGAAAGCTATTAGAGGCAAACACAGAATACCAGCGGACCCTACAGTTGCTCATAATAAGAAATCTAAAATTTATTACGGTCGGTCAAGTGAAATTAAACGACAAGTATTACTGTGTGTGAATCACCTAACAACAAAATCTAAATGTAGTTTTGAATTTTACAGTAAATACTTTAAACTTCAATTTTGTTTGCAAGCTTAAATATTGAGTAGTAACTAAGATTGCGCGCATCATGCTGGGCGGCGTCTGATTCTTTAAAACGTTACAATAATTTAGAACGAAAACCGGCCAGTATTTAACTCCATTCAATACTTGAAGGTCCGCTATTGTTACCCATTGTGAGGTAAAAAGATTACTCGAAGAATTTGAACAAAACCATTGAGACAGTAAGAATGAATTGTTTATAAGCCTTCAATCATTCCATTGACGAAAACGCGATTTTAATAGACTACGTGTCGCCCCTTAGAAGCGTTTCAATTTATTTTTTGCCATTTTAAGCCAAGATTTTAGAATTTATTATTTTGTAAAATGGTAATCTGATTTTAACTCCAGAAATTTGAATAAATAAGTTGAGAATTAGTGAAAAGTGTCAAAGATTCAGTAATTAACATGTCCACAATATACCATTAAATGTATAAGTATAGTACGGTAGATTGCGAATTAATTGTATCGCTAATACAAAACACGTTTAGTAGCAAAAATTATAATAATTTTAATGACTTTTTTTTTATTGCCGTATAGGCAGACGAGCATACGGCCCACCTGATGGTGAGTGGTTACCGTCGCTCATGGACGTCAGCAATGCCAGGGGCAGAGCCAAGCCGCTGCCTACCGTTTAATACTCTCCACAAGCCTCGTTTGAAGAAGGGCATGTCATAGCACTCGGGAAACACCGTGGAGGGGAGCTCATTCCATAGCCGGATGGTACGTGGCAAAAAAGATCTCTGGAAACGAACATGACAACTAAAAACTGAATTTGACCTCACACTTAAGTAGACTACCAGTATGAAGAAATATTTGTTGTTTGAGAATTGAGGTAAAGGCTCCTCCGATTAAACCTTTAAAAAAATCCGATGAGAAGGTAACAAAATTACTGACCAAATTTAACACGAAATCTTCTTTAATATCCAAAGTGTTATTTGAGACATTCTCTTCAAAGAGTATTGTTATTCTACATAGAAAACCAATAAATAAGAAGCTATAACTTTTCGAATCGTTTTTATATACTAGACGAAGAGTATATTATGAATCCGCACATGAAATACTGCCTTTTTTGTCTACTTATTCTAGTAACTCTAACTACTAAGTAAGTCTCGAGGTAGTCTTGAAGTAGTCTAAGTCTCGAGGGCTTAAACTAGATTCTTCGGGCGAGAGATTGCGCCTATTTCGGCTTCAAAGCAATCATACATTAGCTATTTGACAGTAACAATCGAAAATCCAATCTCATGCCGCAAAAAATAAACATAGCCTAATTAAGGACAAGCAAAACCCACCACGACGCTAGACATTTCCCAAGAGCCTTATAACTTTACACATTCGAGCCAAACGAATCTCCTGGCGAATATTAGTCCCATCCATCATTACATGCCACTTCCTGTAATTCGCATAATAAAATTGTGGGAGTGATATACGAAAGCATAATATAGTCACAGAGAATAGCGCCGCGGGTGTGCTCACCATTCGATCGTCAAATAACGTTTAGCCCACACCTTAGAAAATCGCAAAATAGAGATATCCATTCACACAATACCTTATGAAAGAGCACAAGGAGTAGAACCGATAATTACAGCCTTTGTCACTTGTAAATATATCTATTTCTGTAACGAACAATACGCTTTATCTTTTGTTGGCTGGAATTCACTACACGATCTTAAAAAATCGCATTTATAACAACCCTCGAGGATCACTATAAAATTATTTTCTGTTAAGGTTTTTTAGAACTATTTGAAACAACAGGTACGAAAATGTCCATGCTTATTTAACTTGCAAAATTAATGGGCCCATAGCCTTATTTGTTCGTCGTTTGCCAAAGGAATGTTGTTAAATACGAAAGTGGGTAGTGCACTTGTAATAAACTCATTCAGAGGATTATAAAGACAAGAGGGCGATCGCCTGACATTTCCATTACCAGTAAAAAGGTGTAGTTAGTGATTCCGATACGATTTCAGAAACAGAATTTCGTATGAGCTCGATAATCTATCTGAATTGACCAAACATAATCCATAAAATCTAATTTAATCCGTTACTACTTTTAAAAAACTAAGTAATATGTAGTTATATAAAACAGTTCTTTGATTCTTGGAGCATTAAGTAACCAGAACTGAATATATATAAAGTGACAATAAATTTTATCCCTGTACGTGTAAGAACTTGTGCAAAACATCGCTTTCGAATCGGATGGATTAAATGCACTCAAACTCAACTAGCATATTTATAAAACTGCAATCGACGTTGATACGCGGCCTGGTGGTCCTGCGGACATCAGAGAGTCCTTGATCGATAAAGTTGTAACTTTAATTGCTAAACTGGTACAGGTTCTCTTAAAAGGCACCGCGCCACGCGTCCGAGTACCCTAACCTCGTGTCGTCTCAATAATCGTTATAAGATTTTGCCTCGATCCCCGTTGATGTCTTTAATCTGCGAGCATTGAGTTCACAGATAAGAGGAGGATAATAATACTATTTTACGGAAATTATTTTATATCTTCATACCATTCAGATCGTTGTGACTTAATTAACGCAGTGACAAAATTCAATTTAGCAATTTATTAAATGTTCTCGTTTTAAATTCATAGGATTACGGATTTCATTACTCTACAGGATATTCGTTGATGTGCAATAAAAGCAATGTAATATTTTTGCTCGTCATATTTTGGAGAAAGGTGTAAAAGGTCAAAATAAGGATTTGGCAGATGCTCCTAACATTATAGGCGATTGTTGGCGGAGAGAAGTGTTTGGCGCAAGCCATAATGCAAACGCACCTTGCCTACGCATGTGTGCAATCCTTTCGCATCTGCACTGATTTTTATTTATGAATAATATGACGAATTACGTCGTGGCCTTTATTTGTACTAGCACCTTTCCGGATGTGCCCGACAGGATATAACCTCTATAATATTAATAACGCAGACTATTTGCGACTCGAAATTGCTGAGTGAAATTTTTCGCTTGTTTTTAAAATGTATATATCTATTTGTGAAAATTACTTACATAAAAAATTTCATTGTTAAAAAAAATTACTTTTTGAAGGGGTTACAAAAAACTCGACAACAATTATTAACATTTCAACTTTAAAATCAAGTTAGTTCAATGGAACTAAATTTTAAATTATAATCGGGAGTACTCGTAAAAACCAAGTTTATTAACTAAATGATACATTTTAATAAAGATTTGATTCATGCATATGACGAATAAATACATTTGTACAGCAATTTTTTTTTCAAAAATGTACATTCTAAAATTCCAAACTTAATTCGGTAATCTACAAGGAAAATGGTGATCTGCAAACTAGGATACTTTGCCTTAAAGAGTGCAAAGAAATAGGATACTCTATCTTGAAGAATACAAAGAAATCTATAATCTCAAAATTTAGTAAAAGTACCACTAATGTAGGGATTTAGTTGTTTACATTGACAGCAGATCGATCCTCCATGGGGGTATGACTATAACAAGATTACACAGACGACAATGCTCGCTGGATGACCCATTGTTGCACAATACGGTGCCCTATTGACATATTAGCTTTTGAGTGGGCTTTAGCCATTGTGTATACGTGTTTACTGCCTTCACACACGTGGACTTGTGCAAATAAACCACATTGAAGAGGGAAAAAAGGTTTTTGCTTTTTCATACCCCGAAAACACATTTACTTTTTTGCGTATAAATTTAATTTTAGAGAATTAATTTGGGCTCTACTTCGTCTTTAGCGATTCTGCTGCTGAGTCCAGAAGGACTAAGAACAGACCTGAACAATTTGGGTTTTGTAGCGGTCATTTGACGACGTTGGGCTTGGTGGTAGACGACTTTGCGGACCGGTCTAACTCGTGCCAATACACGACCGCGGTCTTTCTCGATATCGAGATAGCCTGCGTCCGTGTCTGGCTTGCGGGACTAGTCTATAATTTATTAGAGAAACTGAACCTTCTAAATGCCTACGTATGACTGCTGGCGTCGTACCTGAAGGGCAGAGCTCTGGTAATCGTACTCATGGAACTGGTCGAAGAGTTCGACGTTCGATGACGTAAAATGTACCCATACCATCAGTTCGTTGAGTTTTTAGCAGGATTTTGTTAGCGGGTG